GCGCACTTTCCCTGTCTTTTCCGCTGCAGCGCGTGCGGTCGCTGCGGCTGGAGGTTGCCCCGGAAGCGCCGGCCGTGTGGAGGGCCGGCAGCTCCCAGGGCGACCTCAGGAAGAGGAAGGAGCGCCGCTCGTGCGGTGGCTCCTCCTCTTCTGGGCCTCGAGGACAACCTTTTTAGTCATCTGCCGAGGCCCCAAGTTGCAGTATTTTGAGCATGATTTTGCTTGCATGGGGGATCCTATAATTATCCAGTTTCTTGCGTTTCCTTTTTTGTGGATGGGGATGTATATTGATCGCTTCCAATCTGTTGGCCATCGTTTTGCTTTCCATATCTGTTGATCAAACACAGCTTTCTAAAATTCTAGCCTAATATTGATAAGCTTACCAGGTATCCTCCTTTTACCAGACATTTCCCCCTTTTTCAGTACTTATATAGTCAGATTTTTTTAAAGCAATAGTCATGATAACAATCAATGGTATGTAGCTAGTACATATCTCCTCTTTTTTGCTTTTAAAAATATTGTAACCATACCTGCTTAAACATCCTAAAGTCTCTAGATTCCATCTGAACTTGGAAGTTAAGCAGGCTTATCCCTGGATAGTAATTGAATGGGAGAGTACCAATCAATGCCATGTGCTTTAGACTATATTTCCGAGGAAGAAACGGGCAAAACAACCTTTGAGTACAGTCAGCCATCCATATACCGGTACACAGATTTTTTTATTCATGGATTCAAACATCTGCAGTTTGAAAATATTTTTAAAATATATAAATTCCCAAAAGCAAGCCTTGATTTTGCTATTTTATATAAGGAATTCCATTTTACCGTTCCATTTTATTTAATGGGGCTTCAGCATCCACAGATTTTGGTATCCACAAGGGGTCCTGGAACCAAACCCCAGCAGATACAGGGCCCACTGTATTCCTTGTCTTAAGAAAACACTATGAAATTCATAGGATCATCATAATTCAGCAGGTCACTTGAAGGCACACAACACATACTTCAGTTTATGTCCCAGGTTATCTGGGGCTGCTTGTAACAATAAAAAACACTCTGCTTCTGCTCAAAGGTTCTCTATGTTCTATATCCAAAACTCTGATACTGAAAATAGGTTCTTGGGCTAAAGGCTGGTTCAAGCTGAATCCTGCAGAGGGACCAAGGGCTGCCTTTAGCATTTGCCTTGTTGTCTCTTCCTAACAAACAGCAGAAGCTGGCACTTCCCACCCCCTGAACTCAGTTCTCTGACAAGGGAAGGGAAATAAATTGTATTGGTTTGGATGCACTAGGATTGCCAAATAACCAAATCTGAACAAAACAGAAATAAACATTTGACTTGTCCAGGTTTTGTGGCCTCTGGGACAGTTGCCAGGCTTTTTAAACAAAAAAGTCAGATCTTGTAGCACCTTTGAGACAACTGAAAGAAAGAAGTTGGCAGTATGAGCTTTCCATAGGGCCTAAGCAGACTGGCAGAAATAGTGCACATTAAATTGAGGCACTGCCCTGGCTCAGTGCTAGGGAATCATGGGAACTGTAGTTTATTGTGGCACCAGAGCTCTCTGACAGAGAAGGCTCAATGTCTCAGAAAAAAATACAATTCCCATGACTCCCTAGCACTGAGCCAGGGTAGCACCTCAATTTAATGTGCACTATTAGATGCATTTGGAGGAAGTAGACTTAAGTCTACAAAAACTAGTCTCAAAGGTGCTACAAGATACTGATTCTACAGACTAACATGGCTGTATCTTTGAAAAAAGTCAGAGTTTGGGTTAGTACTCACTTTTTATAAAAACAAACCTCTCTCTCTCTGTGTTATCAGAGGAGATTATCACACTGCTTTTTCCCCAATCTGGGCACAGGCTGAGACTGGGCTGGGACAATGGAGTTTATCACACGGGGGAAATCCCGTGCGGAAACGGGGCTTTAAATTAAACAAAACCCGCAAAAGTGGGTGTTTTTTCAGATGATATCGCTGTTAAAAGGAGGTTAATCTGAATGGAAATTAGACAAAAACTCCTTCTTTTTACTTTCAGAAGATCCTGAAAGTAAAAAGAAGCAGTTTTTGTCTAATTTCCGTTCGGATTAACCTCCTTTTAACGGCGCTGGAGTTTATCACACGGAGAAATCCTGTTGATAAATTGCTTCCGCTTTTGCAGTTTTTTTCCTCTTTAAAGTATATTTCTGCACGGGGCTCCCTGTGTGATAAACTCCCATGTGTTATCACACAGCTCTGTTCCCAATCGGAATGTCTCCCATTACTTTGCTAAGAACAGAAAAGAAGTGTTTTTAGCTAAGTATGGGAGACGTATGGGATGGTACTGATTTGGGCACGGAGCTGTGCAATAAAACACGGTCCCAGCCCAGTCTCAGCCCATGCCCAGATCAGCAAAAGACAGCCAGTGTGATATCAGCATATTCACCAAGTGTACCATATGTTTGAACTGCATTTGTCTTGGATCTGTATGGATATCTGTTGCCACAATAAATCTCTTCATCTTTATGGTGCCACAAGACTACTTCCTGCTTAGCTTGAGTTTTGTAACAAACACACATGCATCCCCTGAGGGCTCTTACAGGCTGTTGCATGACAGACTGAAAAAGGGGATTCCTTGGTAGGTCTTCCTCTAGGAGCCTCTACAGCACTAGAACTGTTGTACCTTAGGAGGAAGGTGATGGCTGGTAATAGCAGTGTGGTGAAAGGCATTTCGTGCCATCCCTACCAGGTGAATTAGGGTGGTTGCTTCAGGTGGCAGACACCAGGAAGCATCTGTAGCAGTTTTAATTCCTGGTTTCCTTAGCTGTTCCCCTCTCTCAGTTGACTTGTACTAAACCCCCTAATCTAGCCTGATGCAGGGGGACCAGCTGTCCTCCTTTTCCAGGACATGTCCTATATTTCAGCCTTCTGTCCAGGAGGAATTCCAAAATGTCCTCAATTTTGAGCAGGACTAAGAAGCATGAATTTATATTTCTAAGTGTGTCTTTAGCTTTTGATGTGTAATGTCCTACATTTTCCCCAAATGTCCTACATTTTGTGGTGCCTTGTCCTTCTTTGTGGTTTGGACATCTGGTCACCCTGATCCTGATGCCCCCAAGAGACCATTGAAGGACCTACTCTTTGCTAATACTGAAGACTGAATAGCCAACTCAGCCAGCTTGTATACATGAAATGGGGAGAGAATGCCATCTTGTCCTTTGCGTCAGGCAGTAAAATCTCTAGGGACAGCACTAGTAGTTTTGGTGGAGTGTTAACATTTCAGCTGTATCTCTTTCTTCAACCCATATTTCCAGTCCAAAAATGGGCTCTGTACCAGCCAGCAGTATCCATTGGAAGTGAAAGAAAGGGAATGCTTTTATTATTAGCTCTGCTCTCGCTGAAGTCTACCGGGTTATACTCCTTGAGTGACCCTACTCTGGCAGTTCTTGCCAAGCCTTTTTCAGCATTTTCTCCTGGGCCCTTCCTGTTATCAGAATACTTAATCAAAAGTTGGCAGCCATGGTAAGAGCAAAAGAAAGTGAGAGTCAGGGTTCTTTACTATCTTCCCTACACCTCTTTTCTTGTGCAAAATGGAATGGC